TGTGTGTGTGTGTGTGTGTATGTTTACATATGTGTGTGTATATATACACAAACACAGACACACACCCATTATCAAAGTGAAAGAAGTCCTTTAAAAATAAAATGCATATATGGTACATATATATATAGCATATAAATATATATGTGTGTGTGTGTATGTAGTGTACATATACACACACAAAATGATTAGCAAACTGAAAGGACTCCAGGAAAAATAAAATATAGTCATTGAACCATAAAATAAAGCAAATCCATAATTATATAAACGTGTTAAGAACAAAATTATAGCCCACACTCAAAAGCAAAATTAAATCATTGTGCCAAGTGTGATTAAACAAATGAAAACAAAACTAACAAATATGTTGATAGGAAAGTAAAGAAGAGAAAGAAAGTATTTATACTCAAATTTACATAGAGGGAAATGAAGATTTCTATATGTTAGGGATTAACTGCAAGGCGAAAAGAAGGTAGGATAGGCAAACAAAGGAATAAATTGAAAAACATAATAGGTTGAACATTTTTTAAATTAAAATGATAAAAAATATAAAAAACGTGGAAGAAGAAAACAAACAAACAAACATTAAAAAAAAAAAAAAAAAAAAACTTCTGCCAAACTCCAAAGTGTAGAGCCAGATTTATAGAAAAAATAAAATGTGTGACTGAAATTACACATAAACATATACAGCCATAACAAAAATCAGGAGTCCAGGAAAAATAGGGTAAAATAGTTCGACCTGTCACACACAGAAAACCAAAAATTACACCTACCAGAAGAGTAGTAACTGAAGAAAACCAGGAAAACAAAACTAGAGAATGAGTCAAATTGAGGAGTAAAGCAATGAAAGTAAACTTAACAAACCCTGATAGGAAAGCAAATAAAGAAGAGAAAGAATAGATATGCAAATGTAAAACAGGTAGAGGAATGAGATTTATATACATTAAAGATTAACCAAAAAGGAAAAAGAAGAGGAGGATAGGCAAAGAAAGAATAAACATAGAAAACAATATAAAAGGTTAAAAATATTAAAGATATTTAAGGTTCAAAGGGGGGAACAAATGGAAGAAGACAATAAAAAGGACAAAACAAAACAAAGCTTCAGAGAGCAGCCAAAGACCAACATAGACACAGAGGTGTATAGCAAAAATAAAAAGTGTGACCGAATAAACACATATACATATATACCCGTAAGAAACATAAAAATTTTCCAAGAAAAACAAAGTGCATTAAACTGATACAGCGAAAACAGGAAGCTAAAAATTGATCTACAATAACAAAATTAACTAAAGAACAAGCTGGAAAACAAAACTACAGTAAAGTCCTAGTTGGGGTAGGAAGCAATTAAAATAAAACAAATAAATATGTTGAAAGAAAGGAAAGAAAAAAGAGATATGCAATCTTGAATAGAGATAGATAAAGATGATTAATATATGAAAAGATTATCTACAAAGGGAAAAGCAGATTAGGAAAAACAAACAAAATAATAAATGTAGAAAAAAATTAAGAGGTTTAAAATTTAAAGATTAAAATTACAAGAAGACTGAAGAAACAATAAAAGGAAAATTCTACTGCAACAGGCCAACATAGAAGCAGAGGTTTATAACAGGAATTAAAATGTGAGGAAATTAAAAACAAAAAAATGTTCAGAAACTTCATTTGATTTCATAGTGCCAAGAAAGTTGACAACTACAACAGTGGGGGTAAGGGCAGGAAGAAAGAGAGAAAAAATCCAAAAGAACCTACAGAGCAAGTCAAAAGAGAAGAACAATACATGTTTATCTTGAGTCATTGCTGCCAGAGTCCTTTCCCTCACTCGGATTCACAGTCCACCTAATCTCTCTAGTATACCCTTCACCATTGTTCTGATCCCTGGACTTACTGTGCGGGCAGCTCACAATCTAATCTGGTTCCACTCCTGTGTGTTCTTGCCTCCAATATCCACAAGTATCAGAACAAGTGCTTTTTCTATTTTTGTTGGTTTGTTTGCTTGTAGCAGCTGTCAATTACTTTTGTATATTCCATAGACACAGTCTTCCTAGTTCATAGTGTGGATTTAATTTGCAGTTTGGACACCTGGTTGGAAGGTTCTGGGTCTTTTTCCTTAGCCACACTGCCGCTGGGTTTCAAATGTGGTTTTATTTCCATCTCTGCATGTGGTTTGTCCACAGGGATTTGCTCCTGAGGTGGCCCTGGAGTCTTTGGGTTTGCCCATGTCAGGACCAGGGGTGGAGGTGGTGTGCCTGCCTGGGTCACAGGGGTTCTGACATGGCCAGCGACTCAGGGGTTTGGCAATTAGGACAGCAGGTAATATAGTGCTCTAGAAGGCAATCAGTATTGGTCAACACACTCCCATATTCTTACATGGAGAACCCCCTCCCAGATAGAGAATCCTGCCACAGTCTACAGGGGAGAAAAGTGTCTGACACTACCGAAGAGACCCTGCGAGCAAAGATGCAAGAGTCTTTAGCAGCTCTGCCTGAGTGAGAGTTGAGCATGAAGGTGACACAGCTGCTTGGCTTGCAGGGACCTTGGCAGTGCCAAGAGTCCAGGGACTTTGACTGCCTCCACTGCAGGATCTATGGCCCTATCAGAATCTTTCTTTGAGCCTATCATAGCTGGCAATCAGAATACTAGCTTCTTTGGCTAGTATTTCTCCATAGTTACATGCATTCAGGCACTTTGAGAGTTCTCTTGTCTGGGGTCCTTCTCTGTCATTGAGCATGCCAGGCAAATAGAGGGTGGTCCCCCAGGCTGGGGTCCTATTCTGCAGTTTGGACCATCAGTCACCTAAAGGAGCACCCTGGGTGGAATCTTTTCAGTTGTGATGAAGTCATGTGGGGAGTGAGAGGCTCGGATGATGGCTCCACTCCCTACACATGACTCAGCGGTGTCACCTTCCTTCCATGGCTGCCTGGCTTACCTCCACAAGATTTGCCCACACAATCTCCTCAGTTGAACATTCCATCAATTTGTCTCTAACCAGTAGAGAGAAGACCATGGCCAGAGATTTCACCACAATCTATATGAATCATCTCCTACCTGCTGTAGCTTCTACAGGACCAGTGTCCCTCTCTGGGGTGTAAGTGGCTGTGGAAAGGACTGTCTCATTCTCATTCCATTTAGGCTGCCTCAGATCAGCTGTTTTACTCTCAGTTTTAAATGTTTCTCCTCTGATCCAGACAGTTGCTCCCATGTGGAGGTTGGACAGCTACTTCAAGTCTCCCAACCCTGGAGGGCAGGTCCAGTCCTACTAACACTCATGCTTTCCCCCTAGTTCCAGTATCCTACTGACTTTTGTGGTTCCATATATTATTTTCTCTGTTCAGGCAGTCCTGTCTTCTCTCAGCTGAGGTTCTTCAAACACGTGTGTCTGAAGGTGTATTCCTGATGGACTCTTGGACAGAGATATACTCTCTGTACACCTCCACCACCAGCATCTCCATCTCTCAACTTTTGACTATTAGAAATAAGACTGCTATGAACATTCATGTGTGTCCTAGGTAAGTAAACAACCAGGGGACACCAGGAAGAGAGCATTTCATGGAAACCACAGGAAATCCCACAAAGTGAATAAAGACTGTCTCCCAGGGGTACATCTCATGCTGGCCGAACCTGCTAGTCAATTAGGAACACAGGGACTGTGGTGAAGCACACAACTAATCCTCCTATCCTCCAGAGACAACAACCTCAAAGAGAGAACTTGGGAACTAGATGGGTAGGCATGATAACTCAGTGTTTCCTCCAAGAAGCTGGAAGCTTGTAGTAGCTATTCATGGAAATGAATTCCATCACAGTCTCAACTGTGGGGTAAAACACAAAGGAGGTTCTGGCAGGAAAACAGGATGAGGAATTTGTCAGGGTGCATGTTGAGAAGACCTTTGCACATGAGCCTCACACACTACTGGGCAAGCTCCACCCCTGCCTTCCTGGGAATACTAATCAGCCACAGGTGGTTATTTCCTTCTTGGGAGTCATCCACCACAAGCCAAAGCATGCATTTATCTGCCCCATCCACATCACAATGTTAAAACGAAGCCTGACTCTTACACCTAGGGAGGTGACCATTAGTCCTAAAGTTGAAACAAGACAGTGCCAAGTGGATCAAGAGCAAGTGGATATATTCAGTGCATTCTCACAGCTTGAGGACAGGGGTTTCAGACTGGAGACTAGAAAACTGAGGAGACCTAGATGAAGACTGAGAAAAGGAGGTGGGATAGAAAAGGTTTCTCATAAGTGGCCCAGAATTGAATGGTCTTCAAGGTGCATTAACACCAGTTGTAGGAGAAAAGAGAAATCATTCTCATTTCCACAGCCTAGTTATCATGGAGGGATTTGAGGAACTATAACTAAAAGTAGATAATAATGTAACATGAGAGATAATCGAATGAAAGGCTGAAAACTGGCAGTAAGGCTTGGTTTGGGGAAGTCACACTCTCCATGCCATGTGACCCATTTATGTTGACTTAGAGAGATGAGGATGGCAGGTGAGATTGGCGGGCTCTTTAGGATCATAAAAAAATGCCTCATTTCTCCAACAAAATCATCTGAGCTGTTCCCCATCCACCCTCAGTGTTTTGAGGATGAGGCTTTTTGATGCCAGCCTTGTGGAGGGCTACAATTGGCTGGGGAAGTGGCTGACTTACGTCATATCCATAAGCGTTTGGTCCCTATGTATAGGCATGCTCAGTGGCTCTGGAGGAGACTACTGGGAGTCTCCAAAATGAATAAGGTGGCCTGAGTGGCCCTGCACCGCGCCATGCACCATGGCCTCTGAAGAGCTCTATGAGGTTGAAAGGATCCTTGATAAGAGGAAAAACAACAAAGGGAACACAGAGTATTTAGTTCGGTGGAAAGGCTACAACAGCCTGGACGACACCTGGGAGCCAGAGAATCACCTTGTGAACTGCGAGGAGTGCATCCACAACTTCAACTGGTTCCACAGTGAGAAGCAGAAGGAGGGCACCTTCTCCAGAGCCAACCGTACCTCCCTGAACAATGACCAGAAGCAGATCTCCAGGTCCAGCAAAGCAGCTTCTCCAAGGCCACCCCCAAGGCCCTAGTGGTGAGCAAGGAGTGGGAGGTCAAGAGCAGCTTGCTGGTTACCGCCAACCAGAAGTTCAGGAAGAAATCCACCCACAAGAACATGGACCTGGCCCAGTCTGACATCAAAATCCTCTTACCCAAGAGCCCCATGAAGGGCAGCACCTTGGTGGACCACTTTCAGGATGATAACCCCAAGAACCCAGGTCCCATGGAGAAGGGTCCGGAGGACACAGGGGACACAGAGGCAGTAGCTGAGAAGCCAGGTAGGGGCCCTTCTGGGCCCTGGGGGTAGTGCGGGCATGGAATGGGAGCTGGCCGCGGATACACACACTGGTGTCAGCAGGTGTTGGCCCCATATCGGTGGCCACGACCACAGGGCTGGCCATGAATGGGAAAGTCACCTCCTCGTTCATGGATGCCCTGATGGCTAACAGGATGACTTCCCTGCAAACATCATTCACGGGTGTGATGGCCAGGAAGAGTAAGTTCATCGAGGACAGGCGAGACGAGCCCTTTGACAAGCTGCTGCACTTGCACGTGTGGCAGACGGAGAGCACCTCCAGGTACCAGGATATCATGGTCCAGAAGCAGGACGGCTTCACCCACATCCTGCTGTCCACCAAGTTGTCCAAGAACAACTTGCTGAACCCGGAGGTCATGAAGGAGCTGCAGAGTGCACTGAGCACGGCCGGGGCCAACTGCAGCAGGCTGGTGCTTCTCAGCACTGTGGGCAGCGTCTTCTGCTGCAGCCTGGACTTTGTCTACTTCATCCAGCACCTGACAGACGACCACAAGAGGGAGGGTGCCAGGATGGCTGACGTCATCAGAAGCTTTGTGAACACCTTCATCTGGTTCACAAAACCTATTATCATAGCTGTGAATGGCCCAGCCATTGGGCTAGGAACATCCATCCTGGCTCTTTGTGATCAGGTCTGGGCCAAAGAAAAGACGTGGTTAAAGACGCCCTATACCACCTTCAGACAGAGTCCAGATGGCTGTTCCACTGTCATGTTCCCCAAGATTATGGGAGGAGCATCTGACAATGAAATGCTGGTCTGCGGGCGGAAGCTAATGGCACAGGAGGTGTGCGGCAAAGGGCTGGTCTCCCGGGTGTTCTGGCCTAGGAATTTCACCCAAGACGTCATGGACCGCATCAAGGAGCTCGCCTCTTGCAACCCCGTTGTGCTGGAGGAACCCAAGTCCCTTGTGTGCTGCAACATGAGGCTGGAGCTGGAGCAGGCCAACAAGCGGGAGTGAGAGGTGCTAAAGAAGATCTGGGGCTCAGCGCAGGGCATGGATTCCAAGCTCAAGTAACTGCAGAGGAAGATCAATGAGTTCTGATGGCCGGGCCCCCCGACATCACTGGGCTCCACCGCGCGACGGACCTCATAGCCCGGGCCAGGCTTACCCGGAACTCGCACTGGGAAGCAGGACTTCAGACAGCCAAACCATTTATGACCAAGGAGTTTTTAAGTCCTGTAAATTTAAAATAAATAACTGCAAAACTCCTTTTTCCAAATATCATTATTTTATGCTTAATACACACACAAGTGTAAAAGTATAATGGTGAGCTCTGGACTGCTCTTTGAGGCTCTAATTTTTGTTTCTTCAGCTAGTACTGTCAAAAAAATAAAGTGTGTTTTCTTGGTTCTGGTGCCAGCAATGTCTGAAAGATTATTTGTTTCTCCTTGCTTCTTCCCTCTGGAAGCAAAGAAAGAGGTGTTCGCCAGCTTCGCCATCCCCGCCCTGAATCTAAATATGGAAAGATCTGAGATGTGCCTTTATCTCTAAGAGTTACAAAGCCTCAGAGATCAAAAATTCTAAATCAAATGGAAGACTTATCTTTTTGGATGAGAACTTCTGGTTAAACACCCACTGATGGACATACCCCCGAAGTAAAATACACCTGGGATCCATGCTGAGACATCATTTGATTGTTCCCTCTTTTTAAATGTCTGATTCTTACAAGTTAACAGGAAGAAATCACTCTCTCTAGGGGAAAGCTTGTTTTGCAGTATTAGTGAATCACTGATAGCTTCAGTATGGTATCTTAAGTTGTAAGTTAACCTTAGAAGGTTTATAATTAGTTTTGCTAACCCTTTTGAAAAATAACTACACGAGTGCTTTTTAATGTTAGGTTAGAGCTACTACTTTATATATAGTTTTGCTTTTCTATTTGCAGATATGATTGATGTATTACATCTAAAAAAAAAGGATTTTTAGGTTGACTCGAAATTTATTTTCTTTAATCACTTAAAATTCTCTTGGCACACATTAAATGCAGAAACTCCTTTTAAAGAGAACTACCTTACTATATCAACATTTCATGTTCTTTGTCTCTGCTTTCACATCTACACAATATACCAAGGACAGGATGCTGTTCAAGAGTGCCCTGTGTCAATAGACGTCTGCATTCATGCAAGCGGTCTGGACAATTTCAGAAGACTGTCCCCTGGTAGGCTTCTGAACTTGCAATCATTTGGGATGTATGGAGAATGTAATAAAATCAAAGACTTACTGTTGGACAGCTTTGAGGTTTCTACTTAGAACTGACCACTTTGCAGCCTTTTGGAGAGATGACAGAGTGTAAATCTGCCTTTATTGGATTGGTTGGTGCAGTATTTTTCCATCTGTGGGAACTAATTCTTTTGTTCCATAGTTTGAACTATACATAAGCTGTACAGTCTGTATAGTTTTTATAGAATAAATATTAAGCTGTGAAGACTGGTTAAATAAAACATATTTCTTAACACACACATACACACACAAGACTAAATGACTAAAGTGATGGGGAAGTCAAAAGGCTCTAGCACAATTAGGAAACAGCCATTTCCTTATCCAGGATGAAAAGATGAAGAACTCCTATCAACGGAGGTCAAAAAGAAGTGTCAAGGTGAGTGAACCTACCCATGCACAACTTGCCAACTGACACCGCCCCATAGACACACTCACCTTTCCTTGTCTTGCACATGCCCCCCTCTTGGTCACACTCCCTCTGCTGAAGCCATCAGTTCAAAACATAACTACCCTCTTCCCCAAACTAATGTCATTCTTTTCTCCTTCTCTTGTTTTCTCCAGGTCACCAGGGTAAGTGTGAGGGTAAATAAGCACATTCAATCAAAGCTGACCAAGAAAGCTTCTCAAAAAGCTCCCACCTCAGAGAATCTTAAGAACATCAGAGGCTCAAAGCTTTGTAGCCAGTATTCCATGGTGAATGAAGAGCTGAATCAGAACAAACTGGAAGAGGCCCCAGAGATCCTGGAGACTCTTGCCATTCCTGCTGGACAAATGCGTAGCCAGTGACTTCAGAACATGATTAGAGACCTTAGAATTCTTTGGGGTCTCACTGCTGAAAAGTGGCCAACAGGACAGACATTGAATCTTATACCAACAGCATACATTAATAATGACATTTGGATAAAATCAACCTGATGTGAAATCATGTGTGTCTCTGAGTTTTCTGTGTTGGGCAGAAAGGGCAGAGAAAAGATAAGTGTGTGAAGAGGGAGGGAGATGGTTCCTGTGCAGTTGGAGAGAGAAATAGAAGGTCCAGTTAGCTGGAAAGTATGGGGCAGAACTGTGTCCAGACTGAGCCCCAAAGATACACTTCCCAATGGAGAAGAGGAAGAGGATGTGGTTTTCCTGTATGTGAGAGCAGGGTTGGGGATTTAGCTGGGGAGTTGTGTCATGGGGTGGGGGCAGCAATGTAGTTTGCTAAAAAGCATTAAAGTACTTCCTTCTAGGGCATCTACCTGATAGTAGTGTTTACTACACCTCAAGATAGGATGTCAACAACTGACAGCATTAAAAACTCAAACTTTTGACAATATTGATTCTTCCAATCCATGAACACGGTATATTTCTCCATCTGTTTGTGTCCTCTTTGATTTCTTTCATCAGTGTTTTATAGTTTTCTATGTATAGGTCTTTTGTTTCTTTAGGTAGATATACTCGTAAGTATTTTATTCTATTTGTTGCAATGGTGAATGGTATTGTTTCCTTAATTTCTCTTTCTGTTTTCTCATTGTTAGTGTATAGGAATGCAAGAGATTTCTGTGTGTTAATTTTATATCCTGCAACTTTACTGTATTCGTTGATTATCTCTAGTAATTTTCTGGTAGAGTCTTTAGGATTTTCTATGTAGAGGATCATGTCATCTGCAAACAGCGAGAGTTTCACTTCTTCTTTTCCTATCTGGATTCCTTTTACTTCTTTTTCTGCTCTGATTGCTGTGGCCAAAACTTCCAAAACTATGTTGAATAGTAGTGGTGAGAGTGGGCACCCTTGTCTTGTTCCTGATTTCAGGGGAAATGCTTTCAGTTTTTCACCATTGAGGGTGATGCTTGCTGTGGGTTTGTTATATATAGCTTTTATTATGTTGAGGTATGTTCCTTCTATTCCTGCTTTCTGGAGAGTTTTAATCATAAATGGATGTTGAATTTTATCAAAGGCTTTTTCTGCATCTATTGAGATAATCATATGGTTTTTATCTTTCAATTTGTTAATGTGGTGTATTACATTGATTGATTTGCGGATATTAAAGAATCCTTGTATTCCTGGGATAAAGCCCACTTGGTCATGATGTATGATTTTTTTAATATGTTGTTGGATTCTTTGCTAGAATTTTGTTAAGGATTTTTGCATCTATGTTCATCAGTGATATTGGCCTGTAGTTTTTTTTTTTGTGTGTGGCATCTTTGTCTGGTTTTGGAATTAGGGTGATGGTGGCCTCATAGAATGAGTTTGGAAGTTTACCTTCTTCTGCAATTTTCTGGAAGAGTTTGAGTAAGATAGGGGTTAGCTCTTCTCTAAATTTTTGGTAGAATTCAGCTGTGAAGCCATCTGGTCCTGGGCTTTTGTTTGCTGGAAGATTTCTGATTACAGTTTCGATTTCCTTGCTTGTGATGGGTTTGTTAAGATCTTCTATTTCAATATTGTCAAAATGGCTATACTACCCAAAGCAATCTACAGATTCAATGCAATCCCTATCAAACTACCAACGGTATTTTTCACAGAACTAGAACGAATAATTTCACAATTTGTATGGAAATACAAAAAACCTCGAATAGCCAAAGTAATCCTGAGAAAGAAGAATGGAACTGGAGGAATCAATCTGCCTGACTTCAGACTATATTACAAAGCCACAGTCATCAAGACAGTATGGTACTGGCACAAAGACAGAAATATAGATCAATGGAGCAGAATAGAAAGCCCAGAGATAAATCCACGAACCTATGGTCACCTTATCTTTGACAAAGGAGGCAAGGATATACAATGGAAAAAAGACAACCTCTTTAACAAGTGGTGCTGGGAAAACTGGTCAACCACCTGTAAAAGAATGAAACTAGAACACTTTCTAACACCATACACAAAAATAAACTCAAGATGGATTAAAGATCTAAATGTAAGACCAGAAACTATAAAACTCCTAGAGGAGAACATAGGCAAAACACTCTCCGACATAAATCACAGCAGTATCCTCTATGACCCACATCCTAGAATTTTATAAATAAAAGCAAAAATAAACAAATGGGACCTAATGAAACTTAAAAGCTTTTGCACAACAAAGGAAACTATAAGCAAGGTGAAAAGACAGCCCTCAGATTTGGAGACAATAATAGCAAACGAAGCAACAGACAAAGGATTAATCTCAAAAATATACAAGCAACTCCTCCAGCTCAACTCCAGAAAAATAAATGACCCAATCAAAAAATGGGCCAAAGAACTGAACAGACATTTCTCCAAGGAAGACATACAGATGGCTAACAAACACATGAAAAGATGCTCAACATCACTCATTATGAGAAATGCAAATCAAAACCACAATGAGGTACCATTACACGCCAGTCAGGATGGCTGCTATCCAAAAGTCTACAAGCTATAAATGCTGGAGAGGGTGTGGAGAAAAGGGAACCCTCTTACACTGTTGGTGGGAATGCAAATTAGTACAGCCACTATGGAAAACAGTGTGGAGATTTCTTAAAAAGCTGGAAATAGAACTGCCATATGACCCAGCAATCCCACTTCTGGGCATACACACCGAGGAAACCAGATCTGAAAGAGACACGTGTACCCCAATGTTCATCGCAGCACTGTTTATAATAGCCAGGACATGGAAGCAACCTAGATGCCCATCAGCAGACGAATGGATGAGGAAGCTGTGGTACATATACACCATGGAATATTACTCAGCCATTAAAAAGAATTCATTTGAATCAGTTCTAATGAGATGGATGAAACTGGAGCCCATTATACAG